AGGAGGAGAGTAAAGGAGGAGGAGGATTGGAGAAGGAGAAAGAGAAGGAAAAGAAGGAAGAGAAGGAGAGGAGGAGGAGGAGGAGGAAAAGAAGGAGAAGGAGAGGAGGAGGAAGAGAGTTGAGGAGGAGGAGGATTGGAAAAGGAGAAAGAGAAGGAAAAGGAGAAAGAGGAGGAGGATTGAAGAAGGAGAAGGGAAGCCAAAGAGGAGGAGGGCTGGAGCAGGAGGAGGAGCAAATCCGAGGAAGAGGAAAATTGAAGGAAAGGCAGAGATGATGAGAATGACTGATGATGATGGAGATGTTTCATCTGGAATTAAAACTTCCGAAACATTGCAAGGCCCCTTTCTCTTTGCAATGCAGATCATGAAAACCAAAGTTATGATGCAGGAGAATTGGCTATCCCCGTGAGTGCCAGGCTACAAGTCCCCCTCAAGATTATAGCCAGATCTGAGCCGAATTCAAATGGGGAGGGAGGCAGCCCCCTCCCTGCAGGAGCCTGACATTGCCAGCTGACATGGAAAAGGGACTTCCCCCCCCCTGCTCCTGTGCCAACAGCGTATAAGCCCCCAGCAAGAGAAACATTTCATTAAAAGTCCATTAATTTCTGTCAAAAAGCAAGGTGTGGGTTTCAGTGTTTGGTTGGCATCTTCCAGGGTTCTGGAACTGTGGGGTAAAAAAAAAATCAGTTGTTTTTCTTTTCTTCTTCTCTTTTCTTTCAAGGCCATTTTGAAAGCCATTGGCAGAAACAACAGCAGAAATTTTATCCACAGGTCATTTCTGGGATCGGTTTTCATGCCGCTGTTTGAAAGCAAAAGGAGCCTTTTCAATCCCGCCAAAGTGGCAAAGCTAATAGGCAATTGGCATTCACACAGAACGCTTGTGGGTTGCTTGTACTGGAGATGGCTTGGCCCCTTCAACCAAGGGAAGCATGAGGGCTTGGATGCTTCAATGTGCGCCGGGAGTGCGAAGTGTACGTGTGTGTGTGTGTGTGTGTGTGTGTGTGTGCTGGCTTGACACAATCTGGCATTGGCAGCTTGGAGCAAATAATCCCATTATAGTGGATTGTGCCAACTCAACCGATGGTGGCTTAGTTAAAAGAAATGATGGTTAGATGCCCCAAGGGTTAAATGGTTAGTCAGGAATGTTTCATTGGACATAGAATAACAGAGTTGGAAGGGACCTTGGATCAGAGGTGGTATTCAGCAGGTTCTGGAGAACCTATAGAATATTCTATTCTATTCTATTCTATTCTATTCTATTCTATTCTATTCTATTCTATTC